AAATGGCATTTCTGCTATATGAAGTTTAGGGGATTTTCATGCGTCTCAAAAATTGTATTAATTTTTTTATATTTAGCAAATTAAATAAAAGCTTAAAGGTTGTTTTTAGTATTTAGGGTTTTTTGTTTATTTTCATTTCGTTATGATGACTTAACATTTAAAATACATGTTATTAATAAACAGTGAACGAAAGGCTATTGAATAAACAACAAAACTTTAATTTAAACTACTCTATCGTCGGAAATTGTCGGTACGGCAGTATGAGGAGTAGAAATTTGGTGCTGACTTTAAAGCAAGATATTTTAAGTTAGAAAAAAGATAGACTTCTAACTTAGATGGTTGGAAAGCTGATAAAATTCTGCTTCTCAATGTATATCAAGAAATTTTTTTTCTTCTTTTTTGGTATTTATACACCGAAAAGATTTCAAGAAAAAATTTTGCAATTTTCTACTTTCCTACTAATGTTTTTTGACTCCCGGCATAATAATAATAATTGTAGTTCAGAACTTAAGTAAACGAAGTAGTAAGTAGACTTTTTTTAAAACTGTGATGTCATGTTTATTTGAAATTTCTTGTGTTTATTGAAAGTTTAGGTCTCACGGAAGAAGAATATCCCTATTGAAAAAAAACACGTATAATTATACGTATAATAATACGTATAATTATACGTATAATTGTACGTATAATTATACGTATAATTGTACGTATAATTATACGTATTATTATACGTATAATTGTACGTATTATTATACGTATAATTATACGTATAATAAGACATACGAATTTGAAACAAGAATTATACGTATAATTATACGTATAATAATACGTATAATTAATTATACGTATAATAATACGTATAATTATACGTATAATTGTACGTGTTTTTTTTCAATAGGGATATATTTTTGTTTATTAATATATACCTAAATATTATAAAATATAGACACGTATAATAATACGTATAATAATACGTATAATAATACGTATAATTATACGTATAATTGTACGTATTATTATACGTATTATTATACGTATAATTATACGTATTATTATACATATAATTATAATTCTATTAAAAATAGAATAATACAATAGAATAGATTAATTAGTAGCAAAATTGCGCTGAAAATTTTTAGAAATTTTAAAATGCAAATTAAATTTCACGAAAAAAAATATCGTCGAATGTCAATTCAAGCAGTCACCCATCCAAGTACTAACCGCGTCCAACGTTGCTTAACTTCCGTGATCTGATGAGAACTTGTTCCTTCGCCTTGGTGTTTCCGCTGTCTTGTCTTGATTAATAACTTTGTCGTATAAGTATCACTAAAAGTGAGGTGCGATACAATACTTATACGACAAAGTTATTAATCAAGACAAGACAGCGGAAACACCAAGGCGAAAGAACAAGTTCTCATCAGATCACGGAAGTTAAGCAACGTTGGACGCGGTTAGTACTTGGATGGGTGACTGCTTGAATTGACATTCGACGATATTTTTTTTCGTGAAATTTAATTTGCATTTTAAAATTTCTAAAAATTTTCAGCGTTATTTTGCTACTAATTAATCTATTCTATTCTATTATTCTATTTTTAATAGAATTATAATTATACGTATAATAATACGTATAATTATACGTATTATTATACGTATAATTAATTATACGTATTATTATACGTATAATTATACGTATAATTCTTGTTTCAAATTCGTATGTCTTATTATACGTATAATTATACGTATAATAATACGTACAATTATACGTATAATAATACGTATAATTATACGTACAATTATACGTATAATTATACGTACAATTATACGTATAATTATACGTATTATTATACGTATAATTATACGTGTTTTTTTTCAATAGGGATACCAAAAAAAATTTTTTCATTTAGTCAGTTCCATAAAAAAAACCAGATTAAAGTGTCAAAAAATCGCCTTTTTACCACTTTTTGAAGTACAGTAAAATGAAAACGCAACATGACAAAAATCTCAACAAGGATTTAAATGAAAGATTAAACCTTCAACTTTAAGTCCCATAACTGTAACTGCATCTTGTTCCTCGGGGGTTTACGGTGTTACAGATTAGGAATTTAAAATTTATTTTAAATAATAAATTAATAATAGATAAATTTTTCTTAGATTATTTGATTTAATAAGACATGGTTTTTAAGAGTTTTATGGTTTTCTGAAAACATAAAAAAGAACATTATTTTCTTAAATATTAATAAGTCCGTTAAAAATAACTTAATTTTTTTTGAGATTTGTGACTTTAAACTTAATAATAAAATAATTTCGTAATTGTATAGTCGTAATCTTCTACAGCGAAAACCCCCGAGGAACAAGCTGCAAAAAAATTCATTCAGTTTTGAAAATTTTTGATGACATTTAAAATTTTTTTAATCCAACTTTCGATTCGTCAATAAAAACGTATAAAACTTCCAAGTGACATGTTCCAAATAAATACAGTTATGGAAATCGATTTTTAAAAAGTGTTCTCTCTCTTTCCTAGATATTTTGACAATTTGAGATAGCGATTAAATGATAAATAACTTTCAACGCAATTGTCGCATTCGCTTTTCAGTTATGGGACTTAAAGTTTAAGGGTTTAAGCTTTCATTTAAGTCCTTATAAAGATTTTTATCATGTTGCGTTTTCGTTTTACAGTGCTTCAAAAAGTCCTAAAAAGGTTATTTTTTGACACTTTAATATGTTTTTTTATGGAACAGACCAAATGAAATTTTTTTTTGTATATTCTTGCTTCGTGAGACCTAAACTTTCAATAAACACAATAAATTTTAAATAAACACCACATCACTATTTTTTGTAACCCTATTTTTATCAAATAGTTTAATTTATTTAAATTAATAAAAAAAAATTGTTGTGTTAAATCATATTTAATTACATCAAATAACCGTATATTTTAGTAAAATAAATAAATAAGTTATGTGAAAAAACTTATTATTTTTTTTGTTATTTATTATATTCAAATAAATATTTACTTGATATAATAACAATTTATTTGGTTTAAATAAATTAAATTGAAATAATTTGAAGTCATTTGAATTAAACATATATTTTTTAGATGCAAATAACAAATATTTGATCTAAATAAATATATTTCAAATAATTTTAACTAATTAAACTAAACAATTTTTTTTCTTTGTAAATCATATGAAAAGTTTCCAAAATATTAGCGCGCGCTATAGAACTAGGACTATAGGAACCCCTATGTCTTGACAACCCGTCATACTTTGTATGCATTCTTCACAGATTTTAAAATAAGGTTCACTAACGCTACGATTTGAGCTGGATGGCAGAATAGTTGGAAGAAAATAATTTTAAGATATTAGCCCCTACGCAGAATCTTATCAGAAATCTTGAAAGTAACTATATATGAAAAAAGAAACGGAGCAACATAGGTCAAAAATCAGGAACCAAATAACACATGTGACCACAATATTTCATCAATATTACATGACAATATTGCGAATATTGCAACGTAATATTGAGGCAATATTGTTAAAACATTGATTATGTCCGCCCTGAGGTACCTAATATAATTGACAAGCAATATTTAGGTAACATTGCCTGAAAATATTGAGTCAAATAGCTTTGCAATATTGCTGTCAACGTTATTTATATCCTCAATATTGACCAAATATTGCTACTATACTGCGCATAATATTCGCATAGTTTTATAGCTATTTTATTCTTACTCGAAGCAATATTGCCAGGCAATGTTACTATTGCTTAGCAATATTACGTCAATAGCTTTGCCACAATAAATATCGGAATTAGAAAAAAGAGTTAAATCTGTTAATAATTTATTAATTTGTTTGCATTATTGTAAATTTCTCAAACAATATTGAGGAAATTTTAAATAAAGGAAAGGCTTATTTAGTTATTTGGTATCATTAACATTTAAATGATAAACTTAATTTTTTTCGGAGTAAGTTAGCATGTAAATGTTAATGCAACCAAATAACCGTAAATATGTCTTTCCATTATTTACAATATACATAAAATTGTTAAACAACCAAATAATAATTATTGCTTAAAGTTTGCCGAACAATATTGTCTAAATATTACCAGGAAAAATTATCTAAACATTACCAGACAATATTTCCTTAGGGCGGATATAATCAATATTGTGGACAGATGTTATATGTTATTTCGTCAATAACAAAAGCACATTTAAAATAAAAAATTTCTACTATTTTTCGTCTAACTTAACTGGTTTACATTGACAATACAATTTTTTTTCAACATAGTGACAGCTATTTATTTTAAGAGCATATTTATAATTTGATTTAAAGTTACATATTTTTCTTAGTAGAAATTTGATTGTTTTGTTTAAATGAGAAGGATTTATCTTAAAAGATGAAACATGAACTAGAATATAGCTATGTCAAATCAAGTATAAGTAGTACAAAAATAGCATAACATTTTTCTAAATTAAATTTTTATAAAATCCTAAAAAGAGATATTTAGATATTGACTAAAAAAATAAACAGATATAAAGATATATTGAATTGACTGCACGTAAGTTATGTAAAAAAAACATAGATTAATTCCTTAAATGGTACAAATAAAATTTTTATTTTAAATAAATAAAATTTATTTCAAACAAATAAATATTTATTTCGTTCTGAGACAAATGCATCGTTCCTCTGGATGTAATGCTTCCACAAAATAAATGATAACTAGATGATGTACGTATTTAATATAATAATTAAAATATTTTTTATAATGCAGATAATAAAAATAAATGAAAAATATTTTGCTTAAGGATGAACAAAATAAAGAAATATTGATAGGAAACATTTATATTTGCATTATAACATTATAAAATTTTCGGAATTTTTTAATTATAAGATTAATATTTTCAAAAATTTATAAAAATGTTTTTCTTTAAAAATCTTACGTAAACCGTTTTCGTACTCAAAAAATTTAAAAAATTAATTGAATTTAATATTTAAAATATTACTTACCACATTAATTAGTTGAACAAAAGCAAGGCCAAATCTAACAAGAACATTTTCTGTCATATTTTTAACTGGTCGTATTAATTTATTATAGCCTCTAAATAAATCACGAACTAATCTTTCCTCATCTTCTGAACAGAATCCTACAAATTATACAATTTATTTAAATTTAATAATTATTCCTTATTAAATGTATACTACAAATATATTTTATAGAAGCAGTGGATTGTTACCAATACAAAGTACGAATGACAGTAAAAAAAATAAAAAAAATTTTTGAGAGAAATGCATTTTGTCGTATTGCTACGAATACCCACGGAACACTGGATTAACTTTTCTCTCTCGTCCTGGAATCAATAACAGCCACCCTCGAATCAGTCAGTTAGATTCCTCCCTTGCCTAATGTTATATTATATTTCTACATAGTTGTATGGGGTTCAAAAATTCTTATTATACTATATCTGGTAAAATCTGACAATTTGAATTTGAAAATTTTGCTTGTTGACTTGAAACTGCAAATCTGTATTATTATTATTATTATTATTATTTTTTTTTTTTTTTGTTGACAAAATTGACATTTTTGGGTTACCATTTTTCATTTGTAGTCACTTTTTCATGATCATTTCATCACCTGGAAGAAAATTTAGTATAAAGGGCATTATTCCTTATCTGCCCTAGTAAAAAATTAAAGTTATTGGATTGGCTTGTATCTTTACTAAATTTATTGTCCTACCTAAGAGTATAACAAATCCCTAAAACATTAGTACATAAAATTGTAGAAAATAGTGAGAATTGAATTCTTGACTTTTTTAAGTGATGCTGTCATGTTCAAATCTGTATAATTATCACAAAGATTAAAACTAAAAAAATCAAAAATTGTTTTGTTTTTTTATTGTAAATTACAATTCGTAGAGGGCGCCAAAGTAGAGGTCTAAAATTTGTAAGGTTTTGCGGTAGCCTCTACAGAGCCGCCCCTGACAGTCCAAAATCAAAAAACCAAATTTTTTTTAATATATATGATTACCCATGATTATTCCTATGTAGGAATCTTTATGAGAACATACATGGGATCTCATGTAAGATTCTACCTAAGATTTTACATGGATTTTTATAAAGGATCCGATGTAAGAGTTCACCATATAGGACTACATGTGGGATTTCATGTGTGAATTTCACTGCTTTAATTGTCCATTTATGTTACCAAGTAGGAAATTCTATAAGAAATTCTATAGGAAATTATATGGCAAATTCCAATCTAGATGTAGATCAACATAGTTCCACTCTTACGCCGCCAGATGGTGATAATTTTTGTTCCTATGTGGGGATTTATGTATTTCGACATTGCCCTCACATTTAGTAATTTTAGTTATTTTTGTATTTCCTCTAGGAGTCTAGTAACCCTAATAAGATAATTAGTTTTCCGCGCGAAGAGAGATATAACTTGTTTGGCTGTCATAGAGTATAGTGGTATTTCGCCTTGCCTCATAAATGTAATTCTAAAATATATTAAATTTATATTGTTAATATTATCTTCAGTTGTTCGTTATTGTAGTGACACCTAAAAATATAGGAAACATTCTGGAGTCATAAATAAATTAATCATAATTTCCCATACTTATAGTCGAGATCAGTCTTGAATACTATAAAAGCTGAGACTCTAACTCAGAAGATGTATTGCAAAGCACAATTTTTTTCCTTTCAGATGAATTGCAGTAATATTATTTCATTTTTAATAAAATAATTTTTAATTTTTATAAACTGCCGTCTGCCAACTGAAACTTCCTATATGAAATCCTATATTGTTTCCTTTATATAATTCTATGTGAAATATTATATACACTGAAAAAAAAATTTATTTGATTCAAATACTTCAAATTATTTGAAAAATATTTAATTGGTTCAAATACTTTTTATTTGGATCAAAAAAATATGTATTTGATTCAAATAACTTGAATTATTTGAATCGCATTTATTTGAACCAAATAAATCGTATTTGGTTCAATTAAATAATTAATTGAATTGAATAAATGAATTTATTTAATACAAATAATGAGTTACTTGAAACTATTCATTCATTTATTTCACTCAAATATTTCGTTTATTTGATACAAATAAAAAGTATTTGACACAATAAATTTATGTAATTAATTCAAATAAACTGAATTATTTAATACAAATAATTCGTTATTTAATCCTAATACACTATTTTATCAAGACAAATAAACAAATATTTCAATTAATTAAATATTTATTTGAAACGATAATAATGATTTACTTGAAACAATTAATTTATTTATTTTACTCAAATATTTCGTTTTATTGAAACAAATAAAAAGTATTTGATACATTAACTTTATTTAATGGATTCAAGTAAACTAAATTATTTAATACTAATACACTATTTTATCAAGACAAATAAAAAAATATTTCAATCAATTCAATATTTATTTGATACGATAATAATGATTTACTTGAAACAATTAATTTATTTATTTCACTCAAATATTTCATTTTATTGAAACAAATAAAAAGTATTTGATACAATAACTTTATTTAACTGATTCAAGTCAACTAAATTATTTAATACTAATACACTATTTTATCAAGACAAATAAAAAAATATTTTAATCAATAAAATGTTTACTTGAAACGAAAATAATGAGTTACTAGCAACTATTAATATATTTATTTCACTCAAATATTTCATTTTTTTGATACAAATAAAAAGTATTTGATGCAATAAATTTATTAATTCTAATTAATTAAATTATTTAATATAAATAATGCTTTATTCAATGTTAATACACTATTTTATTAAGGGAAAATAAAATATTTTGATCAATTAAATATTGAAGTGTAATAAGAATAATGAGTTATTTGATACTATTCATTTATTTATATATATATATATTATTTAATATTCTAAGTACAAAAGTCAAATATTTTTTCATCAACAAAAAATTAATGATTAATTAATTAATCAACAAAAATTTATGTTTATTATTAATTAATGTTTATTAATTCAGAACAACGAAAAACACGTTTTTAATAAAAATATATTTACACTTTTTTTGAAAATTCACCTGGGATGATTCATGATAATAATCATGAAGCATATAATTAATTATATTTTATAAATTGGATTTAATTGAAAAATATAATTTAATATCTTAATTTTAACTAAATGATGTTAAGCACTTTTCTGAGTTAGGTCTTTTGCAAGTTTAAATGACATCAAGAAGTTAATATTCGTTTTCACGTAGCGTGCGTAGCGTAGTTGGTAAAGCGTTAGATTCATAATCCGTAGGTCGTAGGTTCGATTCCTCCCATGCGTTAGATTTATTTATTTCTCAGGTTTGCGTTTAATCATTGATTCTATTATGAATTAGTTGACAAATGAAAATATCCGATCATTATTATTTATATTTGAGTAAGAATTTAATTTAGAAATGTAAGAATTAGTAAATAAATATGTTATTTATTCAATTCAAATTTTGATTTATTTGAATCAAAAAATTCTTACATTTTATGCAAATAAATTATGTATTTGGATCAAATAAAATAATAATTTCCGCAATTAAAGAGGTTTTTGTTTCAATTAAAACAATTACTTATGACAAATAACCGAATATTTGATTCAAGAAAATTTTTAGTTGTTTCAAGAAAAATATTTTATTAATGCAAATAAATATTTATTTGAATCAAAAAACATGCAGTATTGAATGAAATAATTTTCATAATTGATTCAAATAATTATTTATTAGCTTTGAATACTCCATTGCATTTATTTGATTTGAATATTTTGTATTTGATTCAAATAACTATTTATTTGATACGATAAAATAAAATACTTATGTCTAGTAAATATTTATTTGAATGGAATAATTTTCATAATTGATTCAAATAATTATTTATTTGCTTTGAATATTCCATTTATTTGATTTGAATACTTTGTATTTGATTCAAATAACTATTTATTTGATACGATAAAATAAAATACTTAGGTTTAGTAAATTTGTATTTGGTTCAAATACATATTTATTGGATAATAGACAAGTAAATTATGTATTTGGATCAAATACTTTTTATTTGATCCAAATAAATTTTTTTTTCGGTGTAGATATTTCAGAATCTACATGAAATTCTATGTGATTTCTTATGTTCAAATCAATCATATATGTGACCGGGTCTGAGAAAACGGTGTTATCGACCAAAAAATCAATTTTTTTATGATGGTTTCTCATAGTTTAAGGTCCTAAAAATACAATGCAACTAGTCTCGAATGTTAAAAAAGTTTTTTTGCATTTGTTTAAAGAAATAAAAAAAAAATTTTTCGAAAAATTTTGTTAACTAAAATATAAGTAATTCTAAGATAAAAATCATTCTTGGTATTTTTGTTTAAAATAAAAAATTTTTCAAAATTAACGAAAAACTCGACGTAAATCCTTGAAGATAATCTCCAGGTATATCTGTTATCGGCGACCTGGTTGTCTAAGTGTTAAAGATATTTTCTCAAACCTCAAATATGAATGCTAAAACCATTAAAAAAATCCGAGCTAAATTCTCGGCGATGATCCTAAAGTATACCCATCATCGGCAACCTGGTTCTGTAGGTAAAAAATAACCATGGATTATTGTGTGGTTGTCAGTTCTGAATGTGCATAAAAAATTTCAGTCCTCTAGGACATCAGCAAGTCGTTTAAATTAAATTTTTAAATTTCATATTTTGACTCTTGCAAAACAAATTGTTTATAACAATAACACTGATGTTCAAAAAATTATTTAACCATAAAAATTGTGTTTAGCATAAAAAGTGTTATAAACAATTTGTTTTGCAGAAGTTAATTTGCCCAACTTTGAAAAATTAACTTTTTCATTAGAAAAAATAAGAAAAAACCAATTTTTTTTCTTTTCTTCTGTTTGCCTAAGTTTTTGTTAAACTTTGAAATATTAATTTTCAAAGTAGCAAAAATTAAAAAAAATAATTTTTTTCATGATTTGTTCATATTTTTGCAAAATAAAATTTACCTTTAGCCGGACATTTCAAAGTTATTATAATTTTACACCTTGATATTTCGAATCTTATATATAATATTACGTGCTGATTGGAAAATTCCTTGTGAATTTTAAAAATGAAAATAAGGGTTGCTACTCTTTTTGGAAACCTGAAAAACCTGGAAAAGAAAATTTTACTAGTTTGTATTAAATTTTCTGCAATTAAGAAAATTAGTGTATCAAATTCGGACAAGTAAATGATTTTCTTGAATAAATAATACTTCTTTTTCAGTATATGGAAAAGGCAACTAAAAAGAATAAAAACCCCTGTAAAAAGAC